GTTAAAGTTCAAATCAGGTCGTAACGAGGTATATGTTTTCGTGAATGATCCCGATATTTTAGGCAAAATTTTAATCCCTGATCCCAGAAGCGATGGGAATTTTGATCCCTGATCCCGCAAAAAATTGTCGATCCCACGAGATTCCCTTTTCATAATTTTCCCTCGTCGTTGTATGACATAAAAACGAAACTAATATTGACAACATTTACGTCAAGATGGAACTGTTTACAATTACTTCTATTAAAAAAATGTTTAAAATACAAAATACCGTTCTGCATACTTCTTTTTTATAATTATCCAAAGCATTAGGTGCCTAAATGAACTCGATCTCCCACTCCTCCTGTTCGACTTCATCGTTTCCAGAATTTAACGTTTCGTCACAATCAGCGCTTGAACGGGACACGTACTTGACATATATTCTTGAACTGTTCTAATTTGAAATATTATTTTTACTGCACTAAAAATCGAGACTAACTGGCGTGATACTGACTAATATATGCACTTTTTGAAGCTGATACAAAGCGTTTCTCTATTCTAATTAATGCTGTTATTGTTCGTTTTTGTCATGGTTAAAAAAATGTGCATTGAGTACACCATATTTCAAAATAAGAGGGAAATAGAGGTGGTATATTCTGATAGAAATAATTGCCAGTATGAACCTCACAAATGAACTAGTCGTTACAAAATCATTTACCCGGAAACTGTAGAGACTGTTTTTGCTGTTGTAAGGAAGGTACTTATATGTTTTTGTAGTTACTTTAATCGAAACTAAGTATTCAAGTGAAAGCTAGTACATCTTTGCGTATTTTGCATGGGTTTATGACATTTTCGAAATATCATTTTCAGGGTTATTGGAAGATCCTTAAACAGTTTTTAAGAGGCGTTATCATCTACCTCAGACAGTAGTCAAGGTATGTACAAGGAATGTAAAGTACGAGGTCGGATATTTCGAAAAGTTAATTTGAATACAGAACAGCTAAAGTTCTAACTGCTACAGCATTAACTATACCATTTGTTCTTCCTCTGTGTGAGCGTTGAATCCTCTCACCAATATATATATTTTTAGGACTATTTTAAAAAATCTGCGAGTTTTCCATGTCTCTTAAAGGGGCATAAATAAAACTTAGCAGGTTTTAACTCGAACAAAGCTGAATCTCAAGGTTCATTTTCCATCCTTATCTTAGTTGGTTTTGTTGTTTCGTGGATTTTTCCTTCGTTCCACAAACAGTTTTTAGCCAAGATCCAAAAAATATCTTCATTCTTAGCATTATAGCATAATCTTGGTCTGTAATTTTTAATCGTAATTTGTCTTACAGGAAAGAACGAGCCAGTGGTAAGAACGATACGATTCTGTATTTTAATGACATTGTGCTACGTATATGAAATTTTCACTCAAGAATGCAAAGAGAATGAGAGAATGCCATTTTTGGTATGGTGCTTGGAAGACATACCTTCAAAAAGTTGAAATCGTCGATTGCAGTCGAATGTAATCAAGCGTGTAAAGATGATTTTCGATGTCACAGCTTCAGTTACTAAATTTCAGAGAAATTATGTGAACTAAACAACCGCACTATGGAGGCCAGACCAGAGAACTTTGTACCAAATTCTGAAAGATACTATGTCAGGAGTAATAAGAAAAGAGGTGAGTTTCATCGCACAAAAGGACTCAAAACTGAGTTCAAAACTTTCTGAACTGTACGGGTCTTGGTTGGTAAAATTTAAGACACCATAGACAAAAGACATGATAGTACTCCAAATTTCTACTTTCGAAGGCAAATTATTTTCCATGAATGCAAGAGGATAGCGTTATCCGCATTTTGAACATCCGGGCCAGATCTCCAAATATTTTTCTTTGATCGAGAAGAATAATGAAATTTTTTTTACAACTGCACAAATTAGGATACAAATAACACGTGCATAGAGTACTAAAATCCTGCGATGTCGTACTAAATTTGTCTGAATAGAACTTACTAATCACTCCCGAACCAGCAAACCACCGCGCGCGAAATGCACTATTCACCCAGGTGTTTTAGACTAACAAGGACAACAACTCATTGGTGCGCAATGGAAGGGCACCGACTTGACATCTTCATACTGAGCTCTTAAAATTTATGTCAAACATTTTGGAAACTCCTGCAGACCTGATACTTGAGCAGATTGTTATTCATGATTGTTTATTTATTAATAATGTACAGTAGCTCACTCTCTTAGCGTCGGGCATCCTGTATGTAGTTTTGCTTTTAGATTTCGATTGGATGACAGTGAAAACCATCAATAGTAAAATCTAAGGCATCCGGTGTCAGCTACATATGAACAACAGGGAGAGTGTAAATTAAAGGACGGCCGAATTCGACGAACCTCCCATTTAAATCAAACTCTTTTCATTTTCTTCCATCGTCCAGATGGGTTTATGAAATTACAGATAGAAAATGATGTGCCACGATTTACCGAAGCAATTTTTCGGCATTAGGTTAGTATGAGACCTCCTTGGGAAATTAGGTGCAGCCTGATAAGGAGGTTTATTAATAAGAGATCAACTTGCTGTGAAAAATTTGATATAAATATTTTATTCAAGATGGGTTTATGAAGGCAGCGAAAACTGTAACTGTCACTATCACTAGGCAGGAGTAAATCAGCGCTTGCCGCAAAGATTCGGAGCCGATTTCATGTACAAACAATGAAAAATTATTCTTCTGACAATTAATTGAAAAAAAAGTTCAGCTGCTTTACCAGACTTCAACGTTTAAAAATTGCCCTTTGAACATGCGTCTGTATTAACTGCAGTAACTTTAGATGGAATGGGCCGGCGCTTGTGGCCGAGTTGCAAAGGAGAAACACTGATTAAAGGCGTCACGTGAATTGGAAGTTTTCACAAGATTTAAACTGACAGAAAAAAGAACACTGTACTAAAATTAAAACCGTGAAAATGCAGGCATTCAAAGTGGGTTTCATTTAAAAAAGCCAAGAGCTTTCCGCAGATATCCTTATTTGCTATTTTTCCAAGACGCAGGAATTAAAAAAAAACTTCTCAACATCTCAGGAAAATGCAGTTCATGTTTTAGTCGAACATTAGACAATAAAGCAATTTCCTAAGTGGTTAATTAGCAGCATTATTTGGGTGAACAGTATTGAATTGAAAATTTCCTTATCAAAGCCTTCTTATAAGTACTGATCTACTGTCTGTTATAAGATATTCTAATTGATTGGCCTTGACCTGAAAACCGTAGCTTTTCCTTGAAAGTCAACGGAATCCTGTACATCAATAAAATGGGGAACAGGCCCTTACAATTTTATATTCTAATTTTAATCAACAGAGATCGAAGTTACATCGTCTAAATAATTCTACCTCTTAAGATCTGCTGATTAACACCTCTTTCTCGCAAAATACTCTTATTTTGGTTATGCTGGCCGTTGTCTCAATGTTCAAATCCTTGACACCTTTAAAACTGTAAAACATAAAGTCTAACGACTCAAACCACTGTTTGTATACCATAAAAGTAATTAGGATTGTAATTTACCCCAAGGTAATAACGAATTGGTAAATTGAAAACAAAGTGGTAGGCCTGTGGAATGATTCCCTAAACGAAGTTATAAACTTGAACTTTTCTAAGAAGGGGTAATCTAATCTCTGTAGGACAGTAAAACAAGGTATGCATAGGAGATGTAAGGATCCAGGTTCAGATTGTACACCTACGGGCTCATGTAGGTACAAGGAC